TATTTTACATCATTGGATAGGAGCCATACAAATCTCTGGTTGCTTTGTTCCAGCAAGCAGATGTTGTGATAGAGAATGTATGTTTTCGGGTTTGCAATAAATGTCATTGTTTAATTGAAGAGACTGGAACATACACACTCGGTCCCTGAACTATCCAATGCACCCCAGAGCAGAAACAATCTTGGTTAATTTTAGTAAGGCATAGCTTAAATCAACCAGTTTTACTTGATCTATACACAACAGTTAACTTAACTAGGAAGTATATGCTTCTGGCTGCTTCCTCTCATATAAGACAGAAGAGGTGAGATGAATGACTCAATGTAAGACTGGAACAAGATGAATTATGGGCCAATCTGGGTTAAACTTTCCTCATAAACATGCTCAAACTGTAATTTATAGGGTGCAAAACATAAAAGCTTCTACTACAGGATTTTATTAATTGGCAGGTATTACAGAAATCATCCGAGAGTGAATACAAATCATATATGGCTAAAACCATAGCAATCTCCTTTGATTGAAAGTTATTTTTATATAAAATGTTATATCCCATCCCTTTAGAACACACAAACCATTTAAATGTGTGCTGCAGCTGCCAAGCCAACACAGCCCTAGATTGCATCAACAGTGGGATAGCATCAAGATTACAGGATATGATAGTATTGCTCTATATTATACTAACGATTTGGAATACTGCATCCAATTCTACTCACCAAGATTTTTTAAAAAAGATGCTGAGGCTCTAGAAAGAGTACAGAGAACAGCAACAAAAATGATAAGGGGTATGATGAATGTTAAGGGAACAAGGCAGGGGTGGGATTCTACCGGTTCAGACTGGATCTGGCAAATCCCTTGTTCCCATGTTCAGCTCGCTCTGAACCAGTTCACTGCAACAAGGAAGTAGGCCTGCGCGCGTGCCCACCCCTGCTCTTTCCTGTGCTTTATGCCTTTGTTTAGAGAACAGCTGGTTTGCGTGGCAGAGCAGTTTGCCGTGCCTCAGCTATTTTCTTCACAGAGGCTGCAGTTGAAGGTAAGTATGGGCTGCCTTTTTTAAATGCAGAGCAAGTACGCAATCACCGAACCAGTTGTTATATATTGGAATCCCACCTCTGGAACAAGATATGTTTTAGCTTAAGAGAAGGCTTAGGGGAGGCATGATAGCAATCTTCCAATACTTGAAGAGCTGTAACAGGGGGGGAAAAGGGCATTGATTTAATCTTCATAGCACCTAAGGATAGGATAAGAAGCAATGGGTGGAAGATCATTACAGGGGGATTCAATCTTGAAATAAAGAAAGAAAAATTTCCAGAAAGTGGCAACAATTAATCAATGGAAAAGCTTGCTTGATGGAGTTGTGGGTACTCATCATTGGAGATTTTCAAGAAAAGACTGGGCAACCATTTGTCTAGGATGATATAAAGGGGCAGGGGATTGGACTAGACCTCAAAGATCCTTTCCTGTCCTATGATTCTAAAAAAGTTAAGGAATAAGGCAACTGCTATTAGTCACAAAACTACTGTAGTTGGAGGAATCAACAGTCTGAGGCAATAGAAGTTAAATGTTCCTAATTTGCATACCTTGAATAAATTATCATCTTCTACCGTTGGTTGTCTGACTGTTTTTTCTTCCTGTCCTTTCTTCTGTGTACCTCCTCTTGGAAAATTCTCCTCCACAGATGACATGGTTGTCTTTCTATATAAAGGAAACTAAACTATTAGAGATTATAAATCATCAGAATAAAATCATACAACACAAGTATTATTTCATTTTAGGAATGAGATGACAGATATTAAATCATAAGAACATAAAATAAAATTTGACTCATTAAAATATTAGCTCTTTAGCCATTCTAACAGTGTCAAAAATTGGAACCATCCAAATATATATATGATCCCCATGTCATCTTCTAGGTAAGTAAGCAGGTAGTGATGGGAAGTTCAAAACAACCAAAAGACATGAGATACAGGAAGGAAGGCCAATCTATTCTGAGACACTGATAATCAAGATTTACTCTTTATCAATAACTAAATCCTGGGCCAGAGGAATTGTAGACATTTTAATTGACTACATCATACAAATATTCTAAAATTGAACTGTTTAGCAGCAGTTGACTATTTTCAGTTCTTTTTTTTTAATTGAGCTGTAGTTTCACAATGGCTAATTGTCAAAATTGATAGATGATTTTTCTATGATTTATTAAACCAAAGCTTTTCAATTTGGGATGAAAACAGTTTCAACTGAATAACTACCAGCATTATAGACAATTATTGAATTCATATTACAAAAGTAGTTAAAATGAGCTTTTCTTGGAAAAAATATCCTGGAAATTCTGAAGAGTTAATCTAGATCTTGAAATTCCTTACACAGCTTCACAGTGTCCCACAGTTAATCTACATTCTGAAATTCCTTGCACAGCATCGCAGCATAACAGATAATTACTATTATCTATAGAAATAATCCTTATAGTTCAATAAAACTAAGTATAAATTTGTAACAGAGAAGGAAAGTAAGGGTTATGTCTTTGCTATGTGTCTGCTTCAAAGACATTATTTTAACCTCAGCTTGCCTCTTAAACATTTATATTAGCTATTTTTTATATCTCTCTATCAGCATAAAACAGCAATACAAACTGTTACTCTAAAATTAACAACATTTATTTGGTTTGTTAATATATTTCTGAACATTAACATTGTTGTTTTCTGGTACACATTTTTTCAATCCAAAATCACCCGCACTACGCATTATTAAAATGTTAAAAATGAGTAAACAATTGGGATGCTGTTTTCAGCATTTAAAAAAAAAAAAGACCAAACATAATGTCTGAAGCACTTTCCATCTATTCTAAAACAAGAATTCTGCAAAATGTTTTTATGCTTTCCTATAAAAAGATATTAGTTCACTGTTCGGAATGATCTTTGAGATACATGTTTAGTCTTATTCATATATTACCTGCTAGCTATTAGCTAGTACTATCTATAAGATATATATATTATCCATTAACTAGTATCATCACAGAAGCACAACATCAAATAAAGTGTGGCAGAGAATAAATTGTTAGGCAAAATACAATTAAACCTTATAAAGTCACTCTTCTGCACAGTGTAGCAGGATTTTAAGAGGCTCAATGTTTGTAAGGTACAGACTTTGGGATCCTACTCATCTCTTTATTAATATAATTGATTCCTACAAAGTTAGAAAGCTTCCTTGCTCAAATAAAACTCTAAGTCAGGCTTGTCGAATCCGCAGGCCGCGGGCCGCATGCGGCCCAGGTTGCCTCGTAATGCGGCCCAGCGCCTACCCCAACCTTCGTGCCAGAGCCAGCGAGGAGGAGAGGCAGGCGCAAGGCGGGGCGAGGCAAGCGCCATGCCAAGCAGCAACAGAAAAGGCTGGCGGCGTCAGAGCGCCACCTCCTGCTGTTGCCGCCCCCGCCGCCCCCGCTGCTTCTGCCCCTGCCGTCGCTTCTGCCGCCACCGCCGCCACCACTGCTGCTTCTGCCTTCCAGTCCTGCCTCATCCAGCCAGGCCATTTGCAGGAGGAGAGGTAGGCACGAGGCGGGCGAGCTTTCTTCCCCCCCTCCCCCGCAAAATTTGGCCGGAAAATAAACCGTGATAAAAAAACCGTGATAAAAAATAAATAATTTTTAATAAATAATTAATAATAAATAATAAAAACATCTCACTAACTTCATTTCCAAATAAATTTAATATGTTAACTATGTTTTCTATGTTTTTTTGGGATGACCAGGTATCGTTACTGTTATTTTATTTTATGTGTGGCCCAAACCAAATTTTCATCTTCTAATGTGGCCCAGGGAAGGTGAAAGGTTGGACACCTCTGCTCTAAGTCCTCAACAGCTGCATAATTAGCTGAAACCAATATACAATTGGTTTTCCAGTAAAAATACTTATAACTTGATTTCTACCCATTTCAAATTGAAAAGCATTTGAAACCAGCACTCCAGCCATGGCAATGTTGAAGGCAGTTTCTTTTCTGCATAATTTTTTGATACAATTACCAAAGTAAAAGGGTAAAATAGGAAGACAAACAGGAGCCACAATGAATAGCTGCAGTAAACAGTGAGACACAGGTAGTCCTCAACTTATGACTACAATTGAGCCCCAAATTTATTTTGCTAAGGGAGACATTTGTTAAGTGAGTTTTGCCCCATTGTACCTTTCTTCCCACAGTTGTTAAGTGAATCTGGCTTCCCCATAAATTTTTACTTGTCAGAGGTCTCATAAGGTGATCATGTGACTCTGGGACACTGCAACTGTCATAGGAATGACAGTGTCTGGATTTTTGATCACTTGACTATGAGGATGCTGCCACGTCCTAAGTGCTGTTTTAACTTTGAACGTCACTAAGTGAACTGTTGTAAGTCGAGAACCAGCTGTACCAATAAGGGGTATATTCACAATAAGCAGAATTAAAGTGGGCCATCGCTTTATTTTAAAATCACTGGAGAATTTTTCTTTCTTCACACAATTTTATAAAATCATATTCCTCCAATTTAAGTGGATATAAGGCACTCTGCGGATACTAAAAAAGAAAGGCTGAGCAGCGATTATTTCAGCGGAGACTATAAATCCCCTCCGTAGAGCTTGAGGTCCATCCAAGTTCAACACGTGGAACTCACGTTGCTTTCTTCCTCCATTCCCAGTTCGGTAAGCCTTCCTTCCTTACCTCCTGCTTCTCCCCGCCACCCGCCTTCTTCCAAAGTTTCCATCTTAACACTCCTCATACTTACTTTAACGCATCAATCCCACGCTTGAAGAAGAGACACCATTTGCTCCTTGACCCGGAATAGAAAACGATGTCGGGTAGGGGGGGGGGGAGAGAGAAATGGTAAAAGGAAGTGAATCCGATTACTAAGTAACCGTAGAGGAACGACGCTAATTTACGTCACAAGAAGGTAGGCGCCAGTTAATTTGATGAGCATATTTGTCAGCCAATAAAAAGAACGGTCTTGGCCACAGCTCTGGTTTGGATAAATGAAGTCCCTCCTCAGCGCATCGAAGATTGGTTAGGGAACATTGGTTAATAGAATGACTCCATTTTGTACATGAAGGGCATTGAGTCGTTCGTACCGGGAGTAGGAGGCAGTAGGTAGAAAACGCGGTGGGTTCCGCCTTGTACTTGTTATTGGTGTTTGCTTTTGTAAAAAGGAATAATATTTGTCAGTATGCTTTGAAGTAAATTAAACTTTGTCTATTCTTTGCAATATATAAATAACTAGGGGGTGAATACCAATTTTGTTCTGCAATTATTTGAAAGATTATGCCTGCCTTTACAAACGTGGCTATTTTTATAGCATCCTCCACCGGAATGTTTTGAATCACAGCCTTTGTAGTTACAATATCGGGCAACGTGACAATCCAACACTTTTGAAAGGCACCAGAAGGACGAAAACTGATCAATAGGATCATTTTCTGCCTGATAAATAGGAATAAGTACTGGGGTATGCAAAGCTACCTCCCTATTTCCGTCAACCGGCATCCTGGAATTGTATAGTTTGGGTTTTTTTTTGTTCCTGGATGATTAAAATATTGAGTTTATGTTTGAGCAGTGCTGCCTATCTTGTATCCATAGGAGATGAACTGTCTGCATATTACAGACTTTCTGAATGTAAATTCAGGTGGGAAAGGGATCTACCTGTGTTCATCTAGTTAGAAAAGTAAAATATTTGGTTTTCATATAATGGACTATTTTGCTTCAATTGTTGTACTGCATTGATTGATTTATACTCCCCAGGCCTGTATTCTATCTCAATTACTAAAGGGATGAAATATACCTCCATACTTTTCTATTCACTGTAATCTGGTATAGATGTGTTGAATGCTATGACATTTTTGCTCCTTATTTGAGGAAATGGATTGTCATGCACTTCAAACTTCATAATTGAGTACAATGTTAATTGATCTTTAAACCGTTAATGGGATGTTGCATTTGCTTTTTCTGTTACTGGCTGAAAAATTTGGTGCTCAAAGAATACCTACAACATCCTCCTATGCCAAAAACATGACTATCCTATATCCCAGCCCAAGAAAAATACTCTCCTTACCTACTGTGCATTGTAGCTCCCTCTCCTAGTTGCGTGCAACTTTGTTTTACTGGATGTCTGGAGGTGTGCTTAACCAAGGAGAAGATGAAGCTAGTCTTGGTATCTTGATTGTCATAGGTTACTTTTGAGGGTACTGGGAGACAGATTGGTCCATTGTGGAAAGAAAAACTAAAAAAAAGTTAAAAGTTAAAATCTGTACACGTCTTGTCTAGCTTGATAAAGGCTTCCAGTGGGACCAACAAATCATTCTCTCCATGAGAGAAAGTAGTTGAAGTTCAACTGTAGATGTGCCTGGAAGAAACATCTGGAAATATTTCAGTCAGATTTTAGGTCATGGATGTCAAACGTAATTGGGTCACATGACATGTCATGACATTTTTTTAATCTTTGTGGAGCTGGAGTGGGCGTAGCCTGCACATGACATATCTGGTCTGCAGACCACCAGTTTGACACCCCTGTTTTAGGTCAACATTCAGCCTAGAGCATTCATTGTGTTTATGTATAGATTCTGATCTTCCAGGCCTTCCTTAATCTTAAAGTTGCTTTCAATACCATCCATCATATTATTTCAAGTTATCATCAAGGGTTGGAGGAGGGGAAGGGTGATCAAACCTAAAGCCTTAATTGATAACAGGGAGGATGCTGTTGTGCTCCATTCTCTTCCCAATCCTATTCAACATTTAGGTGAAACAGCTGGTTGAGATCTTTCATCAGGTCATTGATGATGTAATTCTCAACTACAATCAAATAAATGATCCTGTCAAGTTGCCAGGAGACTCTCAAAGACTGGATGGGGAGGAACAGATTGAGACTCAATCCCAGCAAGACAGGGTGGCATTGGGTTCCAAGATCTGTCAATTTCAATGAGATTCTACTGTTAAAGCTGAGTGGGTGGAACAGGTTTACAATTCAGACTTCTTGAACTCAGCTCCTGTGCAAAGAACAGGTAGCATCTATAACCAAGAGGATCTTTGTACAATTTCATCTTGTATTTCAGTTGCACATTTTTTCTTGGAATGAAAGACATTACTGTTGTTCATGCCTTAATAATCTCTCAACTGGACTACTGGAATGAGCTCGGTATGGAATTTGGGACCTGTAATGATTGGGTAGTGATTGGCATCTCTAGACACAATGTAACACTTCTAACAGCCACCTTGGCTACCTATTGGTTTCTCGGTGCAATTCAAAGCCAGTCTGATTTGCTTGGACTGAGGCTTAGTTTGTTGTCACTTTAAAGTTTTTAATGTTTTAGGTCCTGTATCTTTGGAGTAGCCTTCTCCCAATAACATCTATCCACTTAATAGGATTCAATAGGGCAGATCATTTATGTGTCTCTTAATAACAAATTTGTTACTTTTCTTGGTGGCTGCCCCACTCATAGAAAAAGCATTGCCCTTGTGTGTGATAGGCCCCTTCCTACTTGGCTTCTAGAAAACTAACAAAAACCTGGTTGTTTCATCAAATCAGAGCAGTTGGATTATTTGGTTCATGACATTGGATCTTTTATAAAGCTGGCTAACAAGAAACCTACTGTACAAGTAATAAAGTTAAAATGAAAAATACAATTAAGACAATGTTATTTTAAAACAATTAAAATATTGAGGACCTGGCTTACTAAGTATGCCTTTAACTCCTCCTAAATTGTAATAAGGATAGAGATTGTTTCAACTTTGAGAGCTTCACCAAAGCAGAATTATCTGCAACAGATCTTCTGAAAGATGCCCTATTGATGGTTTAGGAGTGGAAGGCAGATTATATGGGATCGTCTTGTAAGAGTCTTGGTCCTAAGCTATATAAGCCTTTATATACCATGTGAGTGTCACTGGGAGTTGGGGCAGCATATAGACTTGAGTTGGACACAATAACCAGTAAGCTTTTTCATACATGGTAGGGGGTTATGTAGCATCTTCAAGAATTGATAATTTTACATCCCATTGCATTCTATGCTTGCTGCAATTTTAAAACTACGTAGTTTGAAAAGTGAAGGAACACACTGCAGTGGGACACGGTGTAATAATCCAGTTTGAGATTTACCACCATATCAGATACTGAAGCTAAGTCTCTCTCCTGGTATGAAAGCAGTTGGTTTATCGAACAAAAGTAACAAAAGGATCTCTTTGCTACTGGGTCTTTGCTATTCTGCACCAGAATTGAATACAGGAGGGCTCCTGGAGAGAATACAACCTGTCCATTACTGGTGTTTCTCCCAGAATCAGTAATACTTCTACCAGTCTTAGTTGTTCATTTATTTGTATACTTGCTTCAGTCCTGGGCTAAATATCCATGGGCTGTCCTGTCAGACTACTTACTTGAGACAAAACTACAAGAAAGCAAGTAAAGCTGCTTTGTAACTGTTAGTATGTTAATTGTTATTTGTTTACCAGTTACCAGTAATTTTGTTATGCATTAGAAATTCATCAGGTAAATATAAGAAACAAAATTGTTTTAAATTAAAATTAAGATCAATTTCTGTTACATCTAGATCAAGCAATAATGGCAGGACCCGATTCTGGAACGCAACACCAATTTACAGGATTTAAGAAATACTTCAATAGCACTACAATATTAGGCAGAAGAAATGTAAGTATCTGCCATTATAATTTTATAGTATCCATTTGAAATTTTGACTGATCTGACCTATATGCATTTTGTCTTTAGTATGTGATACTTACATATGGAAGCCTTGTAGTGCTCTTCCTTGGATATAAAATGAGGAAACCTAAAGAAATTTCACACAAATAAGTAAGTGTCATAATTCGGTGAATAAACAATAACTTGTATCTAGTAATACTGTATCTTAACATCTCTAAAATAATCTCTAATATAGCATTTTTCCTAGTTTTCCTGTTATATAGAGATTTTATGGAGCTTGCTTAAGAAAAGGGTTTAATTGCAGGTAGTCCTCATTTAGTGACCACAGTTGGAAGTGGCAACTTGGTTGCTAAGTGATATAATCACAACATAGAAAAATCATGTGACCACAATTAGCTTACAATGTTACTTTAGCTTTCCTTTGCTTTACAGCATCAGAAGGATTTGATCCAAAACAACTGAGTGAGCCCAAATGGTCAGGAAGGTTTCCAGAATTTGTCTCACAAGCATGGAGAATAAAACGGCAAATCTTGCAGCCTTCTTTTCCCCCACCTCCACTTTTTAGAATGCTCACCCCAGCTCTGGCACTGGGATAATTAGCAAGGGAATTAATGTTTGCATTTACATTTATTGGAGATGAAGGAATTTCAAGAGAGTAAGCAGGCACATAATAGGGAATACATATTGAAAGGAATTGAGCTGGCTCCAGCTGTTTGCCTAGCAAGCTCCTGAGCTGCAAATAAAACCTAAGGGTATGAAATTGATTCAAGTCTAGTCACTTGCAGGCTGAGTTTGTAAACTTCTGGTTAGCACTTTTTAATTAGTTAGCACTTGGTTGGAGAAAAGCAGCTCAAGAACAGCTCACTTGTTTAGCCTATCCTCTCTGTGGAGAGGAGGGAAAAAAGGAAAATAGATCAGGCACAGGGCAACACATGACCAAAGGACACTGAGAGCATAAAAGTAGGCTTTGATCACAAAGTTTCTTTTTCGTCACTGTCATAACTTCAGATGATCACTGGCTGAGTCTACCTGTTTTAGCTATTTTTAGTGAATGTACTGAAATTTACCCTGCTTTATTTTCAATCTAGTAATATATAATTCCATTCTTTTAATTCTGTAATTCCTTACTTAATGAAGAATTTTTTTGTCACTTCTGATATCTGTTAGTAAGTCTATTTTTATGTAATGTGTACAGTTAGTCCTTGTTTAGCAATTACAGTTGGGATTGCAACTTGTTCAGTAAGCACTATGGTCGCTAAGCAGAAGATCAAATGGCTTCAATGGACTTACGACCTTCCCATTTGGTTAAGTGAAGCCCCATGGTTGCTAAGCAAAACATCATATGACCACAAGTTGCTATTTTATTTCCACATTCTTTATTAATTCTGCTTGTCTCAATGGTAATCACATGACAATGGGATGTTGCAATGGTCATAAATGTGAGGGTTGGTCACATAGCTTTTTTTTAAAGTCATAACTTTGAATGGTTATTAAACAAAGCAGTTGGTAAACAAGGACTACCTATACACCAGTTTCCTCATTTCATAAGGGATAATTGAGTCTTAAATAAAAGTTATGCACCAAGACAAATTTCTTGTGTGTCCAATCATACTTGGCCAATAAAGAATTCTATTCTATTCTATTCTATTCTATGATGTGTTGACTGAAGTTTCTTTTTTTTTCTTGGACAGGTTCTTATTGTTGGACCTTCCTTGTTGTATTGCTGTCTATGAGTTGCAGAAGCAGATGCAGTTCAGTAAATCATGAAAATGACTTACATTTGCCTTTAGTATCAATCCATGAGTGAAAACTCTCCAAATTTGTGGTGTGTATTATTACAGAAGCCCTCTCAATCTATATTGCCCATAAATGGGAGTTTTTTTAAGCATTACAGTAAACCATCTGCTCCAGAATAAAAAAGGTGACTCTTATTAACATGAAAGCAAGGTCACATCTCTGCCATAACAGTTTGAGGCACTGATTTATTTCACTGAAAAGTATTTTCACTATTCTGCCTTTCTAAACAAACAGAATAGTCAAGGTAGTCACTATAAATATATGGAAAATAAGCTAAAATAGCACAGTTAAAAAAATAGAACAAAGAATTCTGTAAAACAGTTCATGAATGCCCATTTAAAAAAAATATCTTAAGCTTTTATTCTGAAGACCTTAGGGTATGGACAAGTTTATAATGAGAAAAACAATTTGTTAAATGTAGATTATTGGCCTTTTAGGATTTAAAATGTTAAAATAGTGATTTTTGGCCTACAAAGTTTTGGTGCATTTATACACATACATATATATGTCCTGTGTCCATCCACCATACCCTGTGTGACTTTTCTACTAATAAAGGGAGATATCAAAAACTAGGCAAATGTTAAAATAATATTCAGTAGTTCTTTCCTATATTAATAAAAATAGGATTTGTACTATGGATTTGTACTCCAATTAACCATGCTATGAAGTGTTAACTTTTAATATATTGCCAAACAATATATTTTAGTATTTTTTTTTTGAAAATTTTATTGATTTTTAAAAACAAACATAAACAAACAAAACATAGAACATAAAAACATAAAACATCTTTTTTGAAAGCAGCCTGATCCCGGGTTACATCTCTTCGTGCAGACAAATTCAAGTTCATGCTCATTGTTATATTCCATTCCATATCTTATTATCATTCTACATTTTCTATATAACTTCTCCCCTCTTTCAACTTTCTTAATTTTATTTTATTTATTTCATCTCAATTCAAATCATCATGCTTATATTCTTTGTCTGTCCTGTTTCAGCTGTCTATTATCTTTTCTCATTAAGCAAAATTTCTCCTGTGATCACTAATTGGAGTATGACGCCTTTATATCTTTCCCCTAAAATTATAACAATGTAATACATAACTTCCGTTCGGATTCTGCTTGGTACATTCTAAAACTACACAATGTATTTTTTTTAAAAAATTATAAATATATAACATTATTAAAACAACAATCCATACCAATTCAATTCCATCATTAATATTAATATTCATTTAAATCTTGAACATTTTACACATTACTTTTCAAATAAGTATCACACTTCTATGGGAACACTTATAAACTTTCCATAATTACTTCCCTCCCACTTCACTTATATTTTATAAAACATTGAGTAGTTAAAAAGTTCCCAGTCCTTCCTAATTCAATTCTCTCATTTATTTCATTTCATTTATTTTGTTCACAAAGGTTTCGCTAAATTACACAGACTATTTTATTCCACTTTTTAATCATATGTTTCCAATTTTCTAACATTATTTCTATTACAAATATAACAATACAATCTTATGTACCTTTACAGAATCCCTTTTTCAGTTAAATTTTCACCCATTATCTCTGAATAAATCCTGTTTCTTTACATCTTGCTCCAGACCTTTATAACTTCTCTTCCCTTTCTTCTTCTTCTCTCTCCCCTTTTTACCCCACTGTCTCTCCACCTCTATTTCCCTCTTCTGTATTCCCCTTTTCTGTTGCTTTCCAACATCATATCCCCTTTTCACATTATTTTTCCCTTTTTGGGCTGTTTTTTTAGGTCTTAAATTCTCCATTCTCTTTCCCCCATTTCCCCTTTCTTCCCCAGATAGAATTACTTGTTCATTAAAAATGGCTTCTTCTTTATCC